CCACCTTGCGCTGCATGGTGAATCCCAGCAGGCGATGATCCCTGTTGCCCAGGTGGTCGAGCACCCGCAGCCCCTCACCAGGTCGTCGCCGGTGGCCAGCACTAGGTCCAACAAGGCCTCTCCCCTGGTGGGGCTGTGCACCTCCTGGGTTCGATGGAGGTCCTGCATTTGGGCTAGGGACCTACATGAGTGGTCAGGCCTGGCTGACTGCTCCTCCCAGCAGATGTCTGGAAAGTTCAGGTCACCCGTGATGACCACATCCTTTGACCTAACTACCTCCGTGAGCTGACTTCATAATTCCTGGTCTAGCTCTTCCCCGTGGTCGGGAGGTCTGTAGTAGACCCCACCGTTAAGTCTCTTTCTGCCCTGTATTCTAACCCAGAGCACTTCAGAGTGCCCCTCCTCCGACTCTGTGCTACTTGATGAGGATGTGTATTCCTCCTTAATGTAGAGTGCCATGCCCCTGCCTTTCCTCCCTGTCCTGTCCCTCCTGTCCAGCCGATAGCCCTTGATATTCACCGCCCAGTCGTGCGTTGGGTCCCACCACATTTCAGTGAGCCCCACTATGTCCGGGTTGGTGTTGGCTAGCAGGAGGGCAAGTTCCTCCTGCTTGTTTCCCATACTACGAGCGTTTGTGTAGAGGCATTTGAGGCCTCCTGTGGATGTGTGCACTGACCCCCTAATCTCAGCATTACCCTGGCCCCTTGCTTCCCTGAGTATATGTTCTGCTTGTCGGCCTAGGCTGGGCTGTACTTGTGAGTGCTGCTTGGTTTAGCGGTCCAAGGCTTCCTCCTCCCTCATCTTCCCCTCCCCCAATGAGCCTAGTGTGCAAATGATTTTGAAATGTTTGGTTTAGACTGACCTTTTAAGCTTTTACTTTTCCCTCCCTGTAAATCAATGTGTCAGAGCTGTGAATGCAAGGAAGCATTGCAACAGAAAGTTGTTGCAAATGGAAAAACTCTGAAATGTATTTATAAAAAGAGCAAAATGCCTCATTTTTTAACATGGTTTAATCTCCTCCCTGCCCATGGGATGCTAATTGAAGCTGATAATGTCCTGGGAAGAGTTTGAATCTCAACTCATTTACTTTCTGATGGAAACAAAAATATTCCATCGAAAAATTCCTGACCAACTCTAACCACAGCTGCTGCTGATATAACAAGCACTTACCTCTAAGGCTGTGCTGTATTGTACGGTTCTTTGCAATGTAAAATCCCACACAAACTCACTGACCAGAGTTGTGTATCCTCACTGCTTAGGTTCAGCTGGAAGTCCAGAGGAAATGGAGGCAGTGGCATTTAAGCAAACACTTGCATCAGCATCTCAGCTCCTCAGCTAGTAACGGGGGAAGCAGTTTCACTCAGGTGATGCACACGATAAAGCCCAGCCCTCCTGAGCAAAAGAGGCAGTGCACCCGGAAATCAAGTATCATTTAACAGAGCCCATTTGGACTAACTCAGGCACGCATGCTCAACTTTCCATGGACTGCACCAGGAACCTGTTTGTGCATCCTGACAGCAGAACTTGGCCTCGGGTCAACTCATCTTGCAGCATATCTATTTGCTGGTATCCTGCATAAGTATTATTGTGGTCATTTTGCAAAGAAGGAGGCCAAACATCTTGCTCTTTCTCCATTTTTCTGCAAATCAGTCTTGTTTGCCTTCCTCCGCCTGTATTTTGGGGCTGTCATGCTGACCTGAAGCACTTGCTCTTTATCATGTGGCTTTTTCTTGGGTCGTCTTTGCTGGGTTGTTCTCATGATTTTCAAATGTATTTTATTTCTCATTTTTTTAAATTGAAGGTTGCACTATATATTCTGCTTTGCAGAATGAATGCTGCAGTGTACTCTTGAGCACCATATTGGTTGAAAATGCAGAATTAGTTATTCCTTTGTTTCAAGCATAGTATTTGTTATCCCGTTGTTTCAACCTATCTTCAGAATCTAATTTTAGAAGAAATAGGCTGGGAAGGTCAGGGCTTGGTACAGTTATTTCTCTCCTATTATGTAGCTGTTACCTAGATAAGTTTCAATGGCATTGGAAATAGATTTCTTCCCTTCCACTCTTCTACTAAAGAAGATCTCAGAAAGCAACACAATTGTATCATTTAGATTAATGTCAGTGCTTGAGCTGGCAGCAGCAGAGCTACTTTGGAAAATTCCCACGTTAGCCAACCTTAATAAAATGGCCTTTGACACAAATTGTCATCTCTGTATTTATGAATCCATCCAGTCCATCTTCAAAGGGAACCGGTGGAAATGCAGATACTCGGGGCACTTAAAACTCAATTAAACTAGACAATAAAGTGGGAAGCAAACCAGGACTAGCAGGGGAAAATCCTTTTAAGGTCTGTCCTCACACAAATCGAAGGAAGTCAGTGAGATTATACAATGTATTTCTGGAGCTACACTTATGATATATGCCAGCTGGTGTTCTGGTCCAAAATAACAATTTCAAGAATGATATCTTGGTATGTGAGTTTCCCTGGCCCTAGGAAGGGATGAAACAGTTCAGCTAAAAATAAGTCAAACCGAGTAGCTAAATTTAAGAAATCCATTTAAAATAAATTCCCCTAATGACTTCATCCTCTCCTGGCTTTGCCTGTTTTATTTTTCCCTTAAAAAAATGAAATTCTGACAAAAATCAGCCATCAGGTTAGGTGGTTCAGTTCTGCTGGAACTATGTTCTCTGGTGGAAAACTCTTTAGTCTGAGATTTTTCCGGTCCGATTTGTTTGCAAACATTTATCCTCACAACAGAGCCGGTGACACACAGTTTCATGATTTGGCAGGATGCTAAAGCACACCTTCAAAGTTCAAAAAGAATCATACCCTCATGAGATGGGCTTTGCTGACTTATAAATGATGCTTAAACAGCTCCAGGTAGATGAGAAAATGTTCTCCTGTATTTTTCCCCGTCAGCAGCAAGCCGAGTTGGGCAATCCTTCGCGGAGTGTCTACTCGTGCTCTTCACATCATTAACTTCAGACTTCTTGGGCAAGAAGGGACTCATCCTCAGGAGGGGGGTTGCATAATCTGGCCTGTCTTGCCTCCTCTGGTTTTCCCCTGTTGCTGGTGTAGATCTCTCCGCAACAGGAAAGTACAATTATTTAAAAAATAGAAAGATGCCAGTGAAGCCATGAATTATCCAGGCTTTCCAGGAGCCTGCCTGTGACCTTTTCGCTTCTGCTTTTGGCAGCAGCTGGTTTTCAGGTTGACTTTGTCCTTTTAAGTTATTTGTCCAAGACAACAAATGGAAGGGGCATTGGAACTGGGGTCAGGAATGGACACGCAAACACATTACAGCAAGTTAGGAGTGGGTGGCAGCTTAACTGCACAGCAAGTGAAGCACTGTAACTACTCCCATGTGTGCTTTTACTCTTTGATAGCCGGTAAAAACCAAACCAGTGCAGCTTAGACTCATTTCACTGGTGGGTAAAATGCCCTGGTTCAACTCCCTTATTATAGGAAAGAGTGGGCCCGTGGGTAGTCCCCACTTCTTTACTTGGTGTATTCTTAGTCCCTGGCCCCTCGTCTCGTGGTTCAGTATTATGCTACACCTTTCCTACTCAAGCATAGGGCCTCTATACACGTGCAGGTAAAGGCACAATAGGATCCAATGTGCAAGCCACGCAATCGCAGCTCCTGCAAAGCCACATGTGCATGGCAGGAAGCATGCATGTGGGATTGTGCATTAGATCCCATCACAGCCTTGCAGTGTGGGCAGCCAGGAACGCTACTTCCACTGAAAGCATCATCATAGATTTATATGGGGTCCAACCGCGGGGCTCACAGCAGGGTCTGTGAGGAGGATACTGCTGCCACCACAAAACTTGTGAAGTGCAGGGCCTGCAGTGGGGGAAGCGGGGAGAACGCTGCCACCGCTGCAAGCCTTGCCAGCTGCGGGGCTGGCAGCGGGCGGTACATCCCTGTGGCTGGGAGCCCCTCAGTCGATGGGGCCCCCAGCCACAGGGGAGTACTTGGAAGGGAGACAGGCGGGGTCAGTCAACCCACTTACAATTAAAGTTTCTTCCCTGTCTTGGCTGACATTTCAAGAAAGATAAAAACATTAACCTTATTTTCTATAGGCACAAAGGCAAACCTGAAATAAGGCCAAGAGAAGCTAAACTATCTGCATATTCTCATTTTAGGTATCAACATTTCAGTCATTCATTGCATCCAATTGTTTTAAATGCGAAGAAAGCAACATCTTTCCTTCTCTGTCAATCTACTGACATAAGTCAAGACATTTAATGAGATGTCATAAATACAGAGCTGATGCAACTCTTCCCAAGCCCTCAGGCCATCAGAAGGTGGTCTCAGAGCATGGTGCAAGGGGTGGCATCTAAAGGCCTGGGCGTAGCTCAGGATTAGTGTAATACCAGTTCGTATAGGTCATGGAAACCCTTCTGGATTAAAGGTGAATCCAAATATTAAATGCACTGGAATAAAAACTTCACAGTATAGTTTCATAGTTTCTAGGGTCAGAAGGGACCTGAGCAGATCATCTAGTCCGACCCCCCGCCATAGCAGGAAAGAGTACTGGGGTCAAACGACCCCAGTAAGGTGGTCATCCAACCTCCTCTTAAAAACCCCCAGGGTGGGAGCCTGCACCACCTCACATGGAAGCTGGTTCCAGACCCTAGCCGCCCTGACCATGAAGTAGCGCCTCCTGATGTCCAACTTAAACCTTCCCT